AATAAATTTGAATGAATAGGGAAGGACAAAGAATGATCTGACATTTGGTAGCATATCACAGGGTCCAAGAAGGCTTTAAGATTGCAGACATTTCCACTCGAATGAGTGGAAGGGGTCTGGTTAGAAACGGAGGTGGAAAAGTAAGGAGACTGTTAGAGAAGTGGAGATATTCTGGCATGAAAAATGCATGGGCTCAAGAATAAAAGGAAATTTGTTTGAATTGTATTATTTTGCCTATAAGCATAGCATTTTGGGAAGTTAAGATGCCCTCATTTGTGAAACAACTTCATTATTTTATTACCCTATTACACAGTTACAGCAACAATGAGAGTCTGAGAGGGTGAAGGGCCTTGATAACCAAATGCTCCCAGTTAGCTCAGTTGTCTGGCTTCCCAAACTTTTTTGAACAAATAATTTTAGATCTCTAATTAAGAAAATTAAGAAATTAGAAATGAAATGATCCATGTGAGATAGTTATTGGAAACCATACTGATTAAACCAATTACAAGTTTTAAGTCCCTTTTATTAGTAGCCAGATGATGAGCAGGCTTGTGCCTCTGAAAAATCTCTTGGCATCCAAGCTCAAGTGTACAGAGTTTATAAAGACAAAAACTACAAAGATCAAACATACTCTACACCAAAGTTAGATGAGGGTCAGAGTAACCTTGAAATGCTCAATCCTGGCAGTACATAGTAATTATTTTAGATACAACATGCAATTAATTTTTTACTTATACTTTTATAGTTATTTTAGTTTACTAATTATTTGGGTTAGTATGTCCGGACCATAGTCAAGGCCAGGAAAATCTCAAATGTCTTGCCAAGGCAGATGTGACTGTTGTTGGGAAAGGTAGAATGCTAAGAACTGTCTAAGCAAATACAGAATGAAATCAGAAGATCATGGTGTGACCTTAGTCATTTCAGCAATAGCAGTAAGAAAAATTTCTACGTGCCATTTTTTACAGCTTGTCAAACCACCAATCTTGGCCCTAATATTGCTTTTCAACATTTATCATATACCTTCTTATTAGACTTTTATTTCTTTTACATTTCTCAAGTTATATCAGTATTTTGCTTTTCAACTCCATGCATTAGAGCTATTTAGTCCTTTTGAACTTGTGTGTTCTTTCCTTTTCTTTTGTTCTTGTTGCCATAAGTTTGTATTCTATGTAGTCCAATGTTCTGCCTTCTCAGGTGTCATATAACATGTTTCTCAACTCTTTGTTGCTCTGTAATTTGGTAGTAACTTTAAAAGGTTGGTTAGAATAAAGCTTGGTTGTTTTGGCAAGATTACTTCTTAGGAAACACGAATGTCATTTCATGATTTTTCAGATGTATCTAACCTTTGTGTGGAAATTTCAATTTATTATGGCATTAAAATGTTATTTAAATATATTTCTCAATATGAGGATTATTACAGATGTCAATGCCACCCAAAACAATCAATTTATTAGTATTCAGGCATCTGTACTAACTTGTCCTTGGGGTTCTGACAGGACACATTCTCAGCTGCAGCCACTAAGAGCACCACCTGTGCACATTCACTACTTTCCCTTTTAAAAGTTCCCTGCCCACTTCCCATCCATCTCTCTGTCTCTGTCTCTGTTCCTTTCTCCCTCCCTTTTCATTCTCCTCTCTCCTCCTGCTCCTGTCTCTGGAGGCTAGTCTCCCTCCTGACCTTTCTCTTTTTTATGGTTCCTTTCCCTAATTAAAAAAAAAAAAAAAAAAAAAAAAAAAAACCTCTCTGCTTGAACCCTGACACATGGCATCTTTCTTTGGCGTGTTGCTTTTCTTAAATTACAATAGTTTTGATTACAATGTGGAGTGCTAATTGACTTTTTGTTAAAATAACATTGATTGTCCTCTTTCATTTCTTGCAAGGGTGTCTCTTGGGGCTTAAGACAGAATGGTATAACTTGTTAGTTGGCTTGCACAAAGGTTTGGCTTGTGAAGTTGGTGTTTCAAGAAGCCCAGGGCTCTGTGATGTTGATGAGGGTATTTAGCAATTCTTTTCTGGGAGACATGACACACATATCTACTCACCCTAGAAAGAAATCTCATGATGGACCAAATTTGGTGAACCAATAAGATCTTATTTAGGTGACTAACAGAAGTATGGGTGAAGGGTCACTTACAGGAGCAGGAATGACTCAAAGAAAGCTACATCACCCCAAAGAATACTTCAGCACCCACAAACTAGTGACAGCTCATGGAAGCACTAGCCCTGTCACTATCTGGTGCTCCAGTACTGTTTACTGCCTTTACAACCCCAAGAAGGTCTATCCAGAAACCTTTTAGTGTTGAGCTTTCTCAGACATGTAACACTTGCTTTACCTCTTGTGTTCCCCCCTCACTCCTGGAGGGAGGGAGTATAACAATTTTGAAAGAAACTGCTGTACCTCACTGGATGATGGGAAGAGCTTCCCAGGCTACAGACTTCCCTAGCATGAAGTATAAGTATACCCAGCTGTGATTGGCACTCCAGGGGTTGAGTGATACTTGGAAAAGTAGATAAAACACAGAACTAATGTTTTTTTTTAAATTAATGATCTATAATCATGACAGAAAAGTCACTTGTAAAGTTGAATATGTCAATAAAAATTACACAGACAATATTATTATATTTATCTTAGAAACTAGTACACAGCTGAATTATAAGTATGAAGTCAATGGGTTTCTATTTTTTCCCCCATTTTGGGATTCAATTAAAATCAGACCTTTTTGTGCCCATGGACCATGGCAGTTTTGTCTCTGACTGAAATGGATTGACCTTTGAATTTACAGTGTGTCAGGATGGTATGCCCTCTTTCTTATGTCAACCCTTCTTGATTGTTATTTTTAGTGTCAGAGTGGACAGTCTTCCACTTGGAAGAGCATAGCAGCCACAAGCAGCCTTCATGTGGGGCTTGGTTTTCATTTCAGATCAAAAAGTCAGCTCTCTTAGAATGAAACTTGACTGGGGTGGGATGGGGGTACAGGAGAAGCTTCTCTATGCTTCGAACCAGCTATACTGATTTTTGCCGTTGTTTGAGTCTGCAGGCAGTTGGGTCTGGGTCCTTATGTGGAGCCTGAACTGGAACCTGTCTGCTCCTAGAGCTCCCTGCATCCTTTAGGTCCTTCCTGGTGTTCATGGGTAGAGATTTTTCTTCAGTGCTTCATGGATTTGTCCTTCGTATAAATGCAGGTAATCTCCCTAAGTAGAACCTAGGACATTGTTCATGGATTGGCAAGGATATGAAGCTGCTCCTAAGAAGAGGGCAGGGTGACAACAGCCTAAAGAAAGCTTCCAAGGTGAGAGTAGAGACATGAACAGAAATACTGAAGAGAATGAGATGTAAATGTGAGTCCCGAAGACAAACACCAAAACCTGTAGCCAGGGATTTTCTCTGCCTGCCCCTGAAGGCCCACGACCACTTGCTTCCATATAAACAGCAGGTGTTTTCGTACAGACTGTTAGTGTCTGATTTAGTGTTTCCCTTCAGTTTCCTATCGCTTTTTAGTTACTTCCCCCATCTTAATTTTAACTTCCCCATTCTCTCCTCTAAGCTTTGATTTTTCTTATTATACTTTTTCTCCTTTTCATTTTTTTTCCTTCTGTTGTGTTAGGTTCTAGCTCAGAGATGAAACATTTCTTGCATGCCTCTTATGTGGGCAACGTGTTACTTCTGTTGAATGGTTGCAGGGCCACACACTGAAATATTAGACAGCTGTGGCTTTTCTGTATGCAGAAGTTTTCACACCAGGAGCCATTTGTTGGAGCTAGTTTTTGGTGTCAGTAGATATAAGGTTTTAATCTAATATGAACAGCAAATCATACTGTACTTTAGATTTGCATTCTCTTTCAAATGTGCATTTTTCTTATTTTTCATAGCCTTTCCTCCTTCTCTTCCTTTTCCTGTGGATTGATTATTCTATAAGCCTAAGCACTTGCTCCTTGCCACCTCTGAGCATAGCTGGTACAGATACATAGATGCCCCCCTTTTATTTATCACCCCACCTACCCATAAGCTCTATGACATCATTGCTTCTCAGACCTCTCTTCTTCGTTAACAACTCAGGATTCTTGGTTTGTGGCAGTAAAGACTTTGGATGAATGAAGCTGTTGCTTATTTCACTTGTTTAGCTATCATGATCTTAGAAATGAAAAATTTGAGTTTTATTATCTACATTAAGTTCACAAACTTCCTGGCCTCACAAAACATGGAGTACCCCTAAAGAACATTTGTTCATGTGGGTTATATCTATCATGTTCATAGTATTAGAGATTAACACGGAATACAATGTTAAACACAAGAGTCTTTTGGCATTCACTACCGAAGGTATCTGAGCCTGTGACAGTATATGCTTTACACTAGCGAAAATCGGGATTGGAGAAGGTTAATTGCATTTTCCTATTGTTGTGAAGATAAATGGAACCGTACAAACCTCCAAAAGGCACATAAAGGTCTACAGAACATACTAAAACAGACAATCATTGAAATATTTGATGATGCTTACTTGGGCTGTAAACTCTGCAAATGGTGGGGTGAATGTAGGAATTTCTGAGAATATTCTTGACACCAGAAGTTTATACTACATGTGAGATTCCACCTAGGTACTAGATATTCCTGTACAACTGGATGTAGTTAATGAAAAATGGTATAGTATCTTTTCATGGCAATTAAAGCCTTAGTCTATTGTCCCATATTATAATCTGGAAATTAGAGTTACTGGTTCAATTCTGTTAATTTAGACCATGATATAATTACTGTTTAAAAATGTACCAAGGTATTTTGCTTTATTTCTCATTGTCTGGTTAACCAACAAAGGATATGTGTCAAGCACTTTATCTCTTTTTCAGTCTACAAGACCTTAATGAAAAATCCATTTTCTTACAAAAATGCAAAGTGAAGTTACTATTTAATCTCAGAGCAACTTCATTGGGTAGCATGAGTCCCTGGGTAGATTTACTTGACCATCTGCCTAAGTCTCTGCTTCTTCTTCTTTTTGTTTTTTTCTAGATAGTTTTGCAATACTTGCACCCTCAGATGGCTACCTGTATGCAGAACCTGGACAAAATGTCACACTCAGTTGCCAGCTTCCAAGGAACTGGCCAGTGCAGCAAGTCATGTGGGAAAGAGTCCAGCCTCATCAGGTAGACATCTTAGCTTCCTGTAACCTCTCTCAAGGGACAAGATACACATCAAAGTACCTAAGAAAAATATGGAGCACCTGCAGCCAGGAGAGCATGCAGAGTGTCGTCATCCCCAATGCCACGGCTGCTGATTTTGGACTTTATAGATGCCGGTCTGAGGCTAGCACAGGAGAAAAGGAAACCTTTGTCATAAGGCTGATCCTAACAGATGGTGAGTGACAAGAGATGTTCCAAGTGTCAAAAACAGAAAAAAAGAAAACCCAGCAACAAACAAAAGTATTATTATTATTACCAGCAATAGAACTTTATTTCAATTTATTGTCCCTCTCTTCTTTATATCCTTCATTTCCTCATTCTCTTTTTTTCCTCTCTGCTCTTCTTCCCTTCCCCTCCCTCCCTTACTGCCTGCTTCTGTAGTTTCAGTGAGTTCACTTGCCTTAGACGTGGTTAAATATTTATAGGCAATTCTTTCAGCCTGCGACTGACCCTCACAGTTTCTGCTCACATTGCAAACTGATTTTTCCTTCAGCAATGGAATCAATAAGGGAAGACTCTGTGTGACAGCAGCCTCTGTCCCTGATACCCTTCCAGCTATGTGTACAGAGGACGGCAGTTGCTGGAAGACAGCAGGTTTTCATAAGCTAGGTATGACCATGAGCTGAAGGACAGGCAGACACCGGATTTCAAACGATACCAAAGAGTGGTTGGTTGAGAGAGTATTTGATGAGTGTGTAGATGTGGGTGTGTTAGGGGGGCATTGGAAATGAACAGGATGCTTTGTCTTACATTGACTATTCCTATAGGCACAGGCAAGAAATAATTCTTACCTAAAAAATCCTACATCACGGAAGTTATTTTGGATCTGGACAGAAAGGAAAAGAGAGAGAGAGAGAGAGAGAGCAAAATGGATGTTAATCTTTTGTTTAAAAAAACAGGGCAAGAAAATATCCTAAACAGTAATGTCCATAGAGCCATTTTCAAACATATATGAAATAAAGTCTTGTCTAGTAAATGCTGAGAAAATGATTATAAACTTCTTGGGTCATAGAGCAAATGAGGGGAATGGGTTTTAGGAGGTGTCGTTGTTTAACTTTTACCAATTAGTGAAAATGCCCTTCATATGCCCAACATTTTTCAAAAAACTATTTCTCTGTACATAATTATAAACAATGTCAAACATGTTCCATCGGATGGAAGTGACAGTGTAATAGTAGGTATTGTTAGTGTCCACAAGCCTTGAACAGATGGAAAATAGCTTTTGACATCTAGTTGGCAGATTAAAAGAATAACAACTGGATTTCATATCCATTAGCAAAAATTATAATTGATGGAAGATGACAGCCATTGGTTTTATGTTTTGACGGAATTCTTTTTTTTTCAATTATTGTTAAGTAAAGATAAAATCTGAAGCTACCAGACAGCGAGCAAAGAGGATGATTTGTATTTCCTCTGGTGTGATTTTTATTATCTCAAGTCCTGAGGCTATTTGATCAAAAAATCAATGTAGAGATTAAAGCAGAGAGACAGGTATAAGGTGTGAGGCGGATTTAATTCATCTCAACTGTCAGGGTAAAGGTGATTTTGACACATGTTTTATAAACTGCTACATTTCCTTCCCTTAGCTCCTATCCATTTCTTTTACAGGACATGATATTGTATTCATCCAAATGAATTTTTTTAGGGGGTCTAAAGTTCAAACACACACACACACACACACACACACACACACACACACACACACCCCTATGAGTTTTCCCTGCTTACAATGATCTTCATATAAAAATCAATTACAGGTCACCCAAGAAATTTTAACCAATAGTTGTCTAAAGATATATATATATATATATATATATATATCTTTATATATATGTATATATATATAGTGTATCTTGATATATTTTAAATAAATGATGAAGGTATCAGAAGCATGAATTATTTGCCATTGAATTTCTTTGCAAAAAAAATATGAAGCATTTTGTTGTTTTGTGTATACTCTTGGCTTTGGGAGCAGTAAGAAACAGTTACAGATTATAATTATTGGTTTTGAACCTCAACCATAGAGGCCAATGATAGGATTAAGTGTGTGTTTATAGTCAAGACCTACAGTAACTTTTGTTCTTTAATATCCTTCAGATTTTAATTAGTCACAAGAAAACATCTCAGGTCCCATGGAAAAAATTGTGAAGTCCTTTTATGTCAATGGAGTGAGGTATAGACTATTATTATTTAAACTGAATTTACTAACATAAAAAGAGTGAGAATAAAACAAATAATATCAACTCATTCAGAAAATTCAGAGTCAAAATTTGATGCTGGTTGATGAGCTTGCTATAGTTTTTCTCCAACTGTCTTTAATGAGGCCGCTTGATTGAACCAAGTTTCATAGTAGGTAATATTAATAACTAGAGCTGAGGAATTAGGGCAAAAATAGGTCAGGGAGGACAAAATTAAATTTGGACCTGATTGTGGAGGAAGATTATAATCAGACGACTAAGTTGGTTCAGACGGTCTGAGCCATGAGTTAGTACAGAGTGAGGCAGGTTAAATGAATGGCACATTGACATGATTATGGATTTTCTGTCATAGTCAAGGGAAGCCACTACTGGCTTCCAAGCAAGGATGGTAGAATAGTATTTCAGGAAAACTAGGTTGTTTTTAATCTTCTGTGTATAAGTCTTTCAACTCTGCTTACATTTATTCCCATCTTCAATTCTTCCTTTTCTCTTATGAATGTTTGAGGTGTATTTGTGTGTGTGGTTAAGCACAGTCCTGGGTTTTATGTATGTGTGAGATGTATGTAAACATTTGATTTTGTTTTATTCCTTTCCTATCTGTATCTTGCATTTTTTTTTAATCAGAGCAATGCTTTCCTCACTAGTTTGGAGGTATTCCTTACACATTCAGAGAATCTATGAAGGGTTGGTATTAGTCCTACTTTGGATGTTTAATTTTTCTGTGAAACCGTCTTTTGAGTTAGTGATGGGTCATGAACACAAATGTGGCATAGACAAGTAGAGAAGGGTACAGCACAGAAAGGATCTCAGCTTCTGTCTGTGGCCCCCTTGGCATAGTCCCATGTTCTATCCTTCTTTTTTTTTCCCCTGTCAACAATCTTTCACCATTTATCTCCATTCCCATAGAGTCTAGTCAGCTCTCCCTGTCTTAACGCTCTGTATACATGAACCCAATACCTTTTCATGTCTTTGTACTTTGTATATTTAATGTCTCAAACTTTTAAAACTTAAAACTGCTACAATTAAGTGATGTAGTAACTGCACTTGTTTGTGTGGGCCAGATTCTTAACATATAATCTCGGCACATTTGGTTGTATTTTTCACTAAAATGGAAAGAAATCAGTTCCATTGAATGTTTGTCGGCATACTGAGTACATATATTTACTTATCTACTCATTTATTCCCAAAGCAATATTTGATACAAATTAATATTTTTATCAATAGTTATTGAATATCCATATTTAGCAAAAAAGGGAAATTAAAAATATTTTAATGTATTTGTTTTATGAAAATATATACAATTAACATACTCTAGAATAGTAGAAATGTGAAAAATTATTTTTTAAACTATGGGATACATGTATTACATTTATAATAAACCCTTTATTTACATATTATTACATTAACTTAGATATTATTACACTTTTATTGAAAGTTATCAAAGTACCCTTTTAGGATATGCTCAGGAACATTTATTGAGCATGACATTTACTAAATTAGTGGTTCCATCTTAAAGGGGATAATGTCCATCTAAGTTTTGCATTCTCTTCATAGCTTATTTCAAGACTTTCTTCATATGTTAGTCTACATTTGAGGTTTAGAAATAACGGATCAAAGAAATGGAGGTCTTGAAAAACCAAGATCAATGCTTGCAGAGGAAATTTTCATGAGCATTTGTTTGTGTGTGCAACTATCAGAAAGATCAGTTTTCTTCTTAAACTCCTATTATTTTGTCTCTTAAAACACAAATAGAGCCTAATGCCTAGTCTGTAGGATTAGAGAATGAATAGTTGAAGGCAGATCACAATAGTATTTACCAGGAGATCACAGGCCCACTCCCTCTCCCAAAATGTACTTGTGTGTTTCAATAGCAAGACTCGTTGTTGGCAGAAAACAAGAGTAGAATGCTAACAATCCTAAGAACCCTCATCCATGCTTGGCAAAGCTTTTTGAGTTTGACTCCCTGTGTTCTTCTTGTATGGAGGGACAGTGTGTGTGTGTGTGTGTGTGTGTGTGTGTGCATGCGTGCATGTGCCCATGTTCATATATGCACATACATGCATATGTGTGCCTGTCTAGTTCAGGTCCTTAGCTTGCAAAACAAACACTTTGCCAAGCATTCTGGCTCCAAAGAAAGGTAAGTTAATTTTACTTATTTATTTGCTTTTTAGTTTCTTGATTTATTTATCAACTTTTATGAGTTCATTTGTGTTCATTAATTGTTTTGTGCTTTAAAGTTTTACTCATTTACAACCTTTTTTTCTCACTTAATGAGGGCTTTTTGAGGACCAGTCTCAATGACCCCCCAGGATTCAGATGGGATGCTTCAGCAAACAGGCCACTTAGAATAATCTGGGGGTGAATGAATTCTCTACCATGTACTTTTCCATATCAGTTTCCTTATTGTCCTGCTATTATTCCAATTCTCCTGTCCTACTTCTCATTCCTCTCTAGCTTCTTTCTCTTCTATTCTAAAAGCTTTTCTTCCTTCAGGAGCCTTAAAGTGATAAAGAAATTACAAGAGTAGTTTCTCATTGGTTAAGAACATATTCCTAGGGAAGGTGATAGGGAGCTGAGCAATTGCCATGGCAACACAAGGGTCCAAGGTCACAGAAGTGAGAGAGGAAGGTGGGGTGGGTAGAGTGAGAGAAGCTTTGAGACTTAGATCTTTTGTTAACAGACTGGAAAGAGAAGAATTGGCATGCTTTCCTTAGTCACCTTAGTTGGACATCTGCAGCTCTGACCTTGTACATAGCTGTAAGGTTTCAAATTTATGATGCATTTACAAAAATCCAATTTGAACTTTCTCTGAGGTGAAAGTGAGCTAATTGTGTGCAGTTAGTCAGAGCAAAAGAATAAGGCAGGCTGTAAAGTGCCCACAGTCCTTGTGGGACAAGTAGGTTCAGCTATTAAGCATATCCCTATATGTATTCTATATATCAAAATTATACATGCAAATGAAAAGTCATATTCCTGA